GCTCATGATTTTCTGATGATTCTTCAAATCAATATCTCTCCACCTCTTTAACGCTTATAATTTAGGACTTGATGTAATTTTCTTCTTAGATTCTTTAGTTTCTATATTTTTATAATATAATGTTTAGGGGGTGTTTTTTTAAAATAGCCGAATAAGGTCCAATTAGCGCTTTTTCAGCGTAAGGTCTAATAGACCCAAGTCTAGGACTCCTGTCTCTTAGCAGAATATTTAAAACAGCGAACAAAAAAATATTCTAAAATTTAGAATATAATTTAAACAATTTTCAACTTAGATGCAATACTTAAAATTAGAATTTCTTTGATCAGCATTTAAAGAAATTGCGTATATTATAAATTAGTTTCATTTAGATCATGTTTAATATAATAATCTGTTTGTGATTTGAATATGTAATGTACATATGATGATCGTTAGTAATCTTGTGGGGGGTAAGACATTCTCAGTGCAGGTGCAGAAAGGAAAACGCCGATTACTCATATATATATATATATATATATATATATATATATATATATATATATATATGTCTATCTATGGGAATTCATGCTCGTTTTAATTCGAAGTGAGTTCAACAACGCCTCGCATCACCTTTGTTATAGTCCTTTGCTCTCATTTAACGATAGCGATAATGACCCTGCATAAACATACTACTAACTATATAATAATAATATTAATAATACAAGACCAACGAGAAAATTCTCTTTATCGTAATTACCTTTATTATTATTGCATCCTGGAAGCGCCTTAAACGAGGCTATTCGTTAAAAATAATGATGGAACCGTTGAACTTGTTAACGTTAGTCATATATTATAATAGGAGATTTCAACTTTCATGTTTAACAATTAGGGATGCGTATATATATGGAAAAACCTTATAACAAGACTCACCGCGATGCATTAAAAAAAATCATACTTGATTTTATTTCGCATAAGTTCCATTATTACCAATTTTTATTGTAAAATGAAAATTTCAACAAGTAAAAAAATTTTGATAAATATAAATTCGATCAAATTAAAATTCTTTTAATCTAGTTTCTAGATAGTTCAACTATGTGGAAACTATCTAGTTTCTAGATAGTAAAACTATATGGAAACTATTCAAGTACAACTATATAGGAACTATCCAGTTTCTAAATAGTACAACTATATGGAAACTATTCAAGTACAACTATATGAGAACTATCCAGTTTCTATATAGTACAACTATATGGGAACTATCTAGTTTCTACATAGTACAACTTTATGAAAAAATCTAGTTTCTAGATAGTTTAACTATATGAAAGCTATCTAGTTTTTATATAGTACAACTATATGGAAACTATCTAGTTTCTACATGGTACAACTGTATGGAACCTATCTAGTTTCTAAATAGTTCAACTATATGGAAACTATTTAGTTTTTCTACGCGGGAAATTCGAACAATTAAAAATTCGACTAAAAGAAAATTCTATCGAATAAATACTCAATAACAAAAAAATTTCAAATAAATTAATTTTAGACATTATTTAAGCGTCTGATAATGTTTAAAAAAAATTTTGAAACATGTTTGGAAAATTGGAATCACTGTAAAAATTTGATATTTTTAAGATAAGGATCAGTGTTAGTAGAAAAAAAAATATATATATATATGATGATACTATGGGTTCGGCGTCTTGAATTATTATGATCCTTTGAGTTTTAAGATCATCGCAGGACGAACACGGTCAATTAGAGTTCGAGATCGTCACCCCAGTTTCTCTTGGATCAAGTTTCCAACGTGGGCGGTCGATGGGATCTCTTCCGATAGGATGATCTTGTGGCACTTTATAAGAGGCTTCCATTCTCGATTTTGCAAACAATTTTTCGCCTCATTATTCACAAGAGAATGGAAAACTGTAAATAAAATAGATTTTTTTTAAAAGGAAAAATATATTTCAAGTATATTTTTTTGTTACATTTCGTTATAGTTTCTATCTACTTTCTATCTAGTTTTTATCTAGTTTCTGCCTAGTTTATATCTAGTTTATATCTAGTTTCTGTATAGTTTCTGTATAGATTCTATTCTAGTTTCTGCATATAACATATACGTTATAGTTTCTATCTAGTTTTCATCTAGTTTTTATCTAGTTTCTGCCTAGTTTATATCTAGTTTCTGTATAGTTTCTGTATAGATTCTACTCTAGTTTCTACATATAACATATACGTTATAGTTTCTATCTAGTTTCCATCTAGTTTTTATCTAGTTTCTGCCTAGTTTATATCTAGTTTATATCTAGTTTCTGTATAGATTCTATTCTAGTTTCTACATATAACATATACGTTATAGTTTCTATCTAGTTTCCATCTAGTTTTTATCTAGTTTCTGCCTAGTTTATATCTAGTTTCTGTATAGATTCTATTCTAGTTTCTACATTAATTGTTTAGAAAGTTTAGGGCAGTTATAGTATTTAGTTTTTAGATACTTGAACTGTATGGAGACTATTTTGATTATAGTTTTTAAGAAATTTGTCCACACGACAGTGAGGAAGAAACAAAAAAAATTTTTCTCATTTGAAATAATTGAGCATTTTTTTGGTATATATAAATGAGAAACAAAAAAAAATATGACACTTCTTTGGACTTTCGCCAAAATGGATTACGGTCTCCTCGCAAGAAGGTAATCAAATTTTTCGGTTGGTTGGTTTGAAGATAATGTTTCAAATTTCAAAGAGATATGCGGACCTTTTCGCATCAGGATTAAATGAAGAATCAAACCAAAGTCAATATATATATAGTATATTTATATATACTGATGTAAATCCTAATCTAGCTCGACATGATATTTGAATCGCGATGTGGTAAAATCCGCGAAACTATGTTTCTTTTTCCGTGACAGATTAGCAATCGGGTAATCGATGGATTTGCAATCTACTTCGAGGTTTCTGGGGTTTCTGTAATCTCATTTTCAAAGCTTTCAATGTTGCTTGGAAATTGGAATAAATGATGAAAAAAAAAAGAAAAACGTATAACCTTGTTTCATCAAGATAATTTTCCAACGTTGAAAAGAAATATTTTTTCTAAATTATAAATTTTTTTTTCTATTTTGTTTTCAATTCAAAATTCCCGCCTATAATTAATATGCTCTATTTTACCGACTGATTATTAAGAAAACGGTAAAAAAAAAAAATAAAGAAAGAATAATTTAATTACAAAATAAAATGTAGCTCGAACATAATTTGAATTTAAATTAATTTTCTGATTTTTTTTTTTTTTTTAATTACACAAACGTGGAATTTTTTGGAAAGTGTACTTTAATATATAATTGGGATGGTGTGAGGTCCGATTATAAAATCTTGGACACTCGTACGCGTTTTTACGAGTCGCTGAACATGAGAATCGTTAACGAGGATGAACAGTGGAACTGGTCTATATATGCCGGGTGTTATGACGATGTTCGCAGGTATATATATATAGTGTGTGGACGAATTCAGGTGCAATCAGGCGAGAAATCTGATCGAACGAACTGGAAAGGACTGATCCTTGTGTGCTTCGTAACACGAGCTCGATTGAACCGCACACAAATATTATATTTGATATACATATATATGTATAAATTTTAATGTGTGAAATCGAGATTTCAGATTGTCTTGAACGATGATCTGGCACACTCTCGTCCTTACTATTATTATATTCTGTTGGAGACGTTGCGATATGTGTCAGAAAAGGACGAAAAATGAATGAGGTGTCGAGGCGTCTCAAACGATTAGAATATTACCATAATGCGAGTCACCTATATCAAAGAACTTCAATCCCCCCCCCCTCCCTAACCCCCTCGGTTTTTTGGATTCAAAACATTCATGCTTAAATTCGAATAAATTTAATCTGTACCCTCCCTCTTTTACTTTCGCCTTTCCTTTTTTTCATAATTTTATTTCCACTTTCTTAAAAGTCGAAGTGAAAGTGGAAGTGAAATGGTATTTTCTTTAAAAGAAGTTTTACCGTTTTATTAATCATCAGTCGGTAAAGTAGAGCACATTAATTATGGGCGCGAAATTTAAATTCAACAAAATGTTGATTTAGAAAAATTTATATTTAAGAAAATATATTTCTTTCTCTATACATATATGAGTATAGAAAGAAACAGTTTGGAAAATTATCTTGTGAAACAAGATTTAAAGAATAGAAATTTTTTTTCATCATTTCCAAGCAACCTTTGAAAATGAAATATATGTAGAGTTTAGAAATAAATTTTAAAATAAAAAGAAAAAAACTATCAAATCAAAAACGAAGATTAATCGAATAAAAAAAAAGTTCCTCAAACATCTGTCACGAATGAGATTCGAAATACCTTTTGTGCCTATATATAATACAAGTGGTGTGAACTTCTTTGAAAATGATTCTCTTCGTATGTAAAGAAAACCCATGACTAAATAAAATTGTTTTCGAGTGCATGGCATTAAAATATAAAATTGTTTATGAATACCAAAATGCAATTAGAGATCCAAAGATTAATCTTTTCTTATAATTCGATTTAATCTTTTAATCAGACTGTAGGTGTATAATATAATGTGGAATTATAATTATAAATTTAAACAACTAACAAATTCCTTGTTCAGATTTTTTTAGTTGCACTCATTTTTTAGTAGTAAAATCTTTTTTTACCGACAGCTGATAAAACAGATTAAACTGATTAAATAGATAATAGTTTTAGGTCAAAACTGTTTTATCTACTGCTGATAAAACAATTTTGACTGATTAAAACTGTTTTACCGAGCTCTAATAACGTATAGAGTTGAATGGTTATTATATATGCTATAATTTCACCGACAAAATTATTATACCGACTGCTGGTAAAACCTATTTGACGATTTACACAAATTTAAAACTGTTTTACCGACTGCTGATGAAACATATTTGATGTATTGCATCGCATCGGTAAAACAGATTTAAAATAATTATTTAGTGTTTAATTGATTAAATTAATTAAAAATTTAATTATTAATTGAATTTATTTTTTGTTTCAGGTCGCGCTTTTTTTTTTAGTTTTACATTATACGGGAGTGTTCGAATTTAGTGAAAGTGGCGGTCGTTTAATATGTTTATAATGTAAAATATTTTTTTCTTATTCTCGTTATACAGCGTATACGGATACCGCTGTACGTGTCGCGACGGATTTAAAATCTATTAGCTTCGGGAGTGTTCGACATTTTTATAATCGCGAACGAAATTTTCTTAGGGTGTGTTTTTGAAAATTCGTTTTCGTTGTTTGTCTTTCGTTATATATATATACAAGACAACTCGTTACGCGCGCGTTCGAATTACAATTTAAATCGCGATCGTATTTTTGCGCGAATATTAAAAGTTTATTTTAAATTTGGGAAGAGGGGGGGGTGGGAGGGCTGATTTCTTACTATTATGCCAGGGACTTCGAAAGCGTCTTATTGAGAATTGAATATATTTTTCATAAAAATATTTTTATAAAAAATTTATTCGAGGATCATCCCGTAAAGTTTATGCTTGACAATATTAGCCATGATTGTTAAATGCAATGATCATATAATTTGTCATCTGATAATCACCGGATTGATTGTTTTTGGGAAATATAATGAATCATGCATTTAACATCACGGTTCATGTTTCCCAGTATATCTTTGCAATTACGGCTGTATACTTTGTAAGTAGTTGCAGCCATCGACCCGCTAGTGGGATAAGACGAGCGTACTGCGTATACCCAACTGCACATTCTTTTCGCATTTTATTTTTTTAAGTCTGCGTAAGTACACTTTATAAAACAAGTACACTAAATTTTCTTATTTCTAAATGTTATTATTGAGGTTGGAGTGAATGGAAGGATTGATTGATGAATAGATGGTTGGATGTTTGGAGGAATGGATGGATTTATGGATGGGTGGATGGAAGCATGTATGTATTTATGAATGGATGGATGAATAGATGGTTGGACGTTTGGAGAAATAGATGGATTTATGGATAGGTGGATGGAAGCATGTATGTATTTATGAATGGATGGATGAATAGATGGTTGAATGTTTGGTGGAATAGATGGATGGATAGATGGTTGAATGTTTGGAGGAATAGATGGATTTATGGATAGGTGGATGGAGGGATTGATTGATTGCCGTATGGATCGATGGATGAATAGATGTTTGGAGGATTAAATGAATTTATGGATGGGTGAGTGGATGCGGAAACACCAATAATAACATTTAGAAAACACCCCTAATTGATTTAAAAAAAAAATATATTTCTTAAAACTAAACAAATAATTTTATTAAAATAGAACCAAATTAAATTCAAATCAGTTTAAAAAAAAAATTTTAATTAAAATTATAATGCATAATTATCTTAATTTTGTCTCCAATTAGCACAACATATGACCATAATATTTCGTATATTGTGATTATATATTTTACTAGTTGGATTTATACAAAGAATTACAGTCCGCTTCAATGAATTAAATTAACATATTGTTCTCTGCCTACAATGAAATTTTATCTTAACATTAAAAAGTAAAATGTATTTAAAAAGAACATATTTATTTTAAATTGTATAAAATCATTTTTTTATAATACATTTTTTTTTGGTGAGTGTTTAAAAAAGTGTGCTTATTCTAACAAATAAAATAATTTTCAAGAAGTTTGCTGCACGTTTTGTTTTGCGAGTCACTTTCTTGGCTACCTCTTTAAGGGTAAATCTTATAAGATAAGCTTTCTGCTGGTCTTAAAGATTCACCCTTGAAGTTGTTTTAGGGCTGAAGAAAGAAGAGGATCCGCTGGAGCTGGGTCCCGGAGCTGTTTGTTAGGACCCATCATCAACATTGGTGAGTTCTTTTTATTTTTAATAACGCATAATTTAATTAATATTAATTTCTATACTGCAAAAACTGTCCGTTTTAACAATGCAAAAAATATGTCTTGTTTTAAGATGTTTTAAGCCAAACCGATATTAATAGGGTTCCGAATCGTGTACGGTTAAAAAATATATTCTGCGCAAAAAATAAAAAATTTTGATGCGCGCGCAAAAGAGAATACGGATGATGGATTCTTGTTGATCATTATATAGGCGGTTTTATGACATGAACTCGTCGCGCTCCAATCCACAGTTGTGAGCATCATCTCGGAGTTGTGAAAGGCCATGTCAGGTTTAAAAAAAAAAAAAAATTTTTTTTAACGGGAGTAATGACCAATAAATGCGTATCGAGCACTATATACAATGTATACCTTTAGGGCAATAAAATCCCTCTATATATATATGTGTGAGTAAAGAGTCCTTCGGAGGATGTATATATATATAAAAATTGAGGAGCGGGAATTTGGTAAATCCGTGCGCGCGTTGCCATATTGTAAAAAAAAAATGTGCGTGCACCTCGCGGGACTAATTTTTCATTCCTTTCGGTCTATTTGGTCAGGTTGTCCCGGTCGCTCGCTACCAAAAACCTTCTTTGCTGCCGTGCCATGCCTCCAACGCAGTGAGAGGAGAGATTATAAATCATGCATCACGGGGGTTGTAATACCCTCGAGAGACCATAAAAACTTAATTACCTTCGTTAATCGATGGCTGCCGAGACGATCTTTACACGTTGCACTTTACCCATTCTCTCTCTCTCTCTCTCTCTCTCTCTCTCTCATTCCATTCTGAGCGTTTTTCGTTAATTTCCTTCTGCCAATTCTATTCAAATTTTTTTTAGTCACTTCATATGCAGTATATATATGATTTACCTAATGATCTTTAAGGTTTACTTAGAGATCTATTAATTTCCCCTGAAAATTTATTCAATAATTTCTATCTATTTAAAAAATACAATAGAAATTAGACAGAAACTAGACGAAAACTAGACAGAAACTAGATGGTATAACTGCTCTGACCTCTCTGAATACAGTAGAAACTAAACAAAAACTAAACAGAAACTAGGCAAAGCTAGATAGAAACTAGATAGTTTAATTATCCTGTCCTTTCTAGACAGTTTCAATACAGTTCAAGTATCTACAAACTAGATAGTATAACTGTACTGTAACTGCATAGAAACTGGAACATTTTCATATAGTTTAAGTATGTAGAAGGTAGATAGTATAACTGTACTGTAACTGTACAGAAACTAGATAGGTTCTATACAATTCAAGCATTTAGAAACGGAATAGTATAACTGTACTGTAACTGTACAGAAACTAGATAGGTTCTATACAATTTAAGTATCTAGAAACTGGGCAGTATAACTGTACCGTAACTGTGTAGAAAGTAGATAGTTTCCATATAGTTGAATTATACAGAAACTAGATAGTTTCCATATAGTTTAGCTATCCAGAAACTAGATAGTTCCCATATAGTTGAAGTATCCAGAAACTAGATAGTTTCCATATAGTTGAACTATCCAGAAACTAGATAGTTCCCATATAGTTGAAGTATCCAGAAACTAGATAGTTTCCACATAGTTGAACTATCCAGAAACTAGATAGTTCCCACATAGTTGAACTATCCAGAAACTAGATAGTTTCCACATAGTTGAACTATCCAGAAACTAGATAGTTTCCACATAGTTTGACTATATTATTTCTTTCATAAAAGTTGTACTTTTTTTTGTTCTTTTATAAAAATTCTTAATTTATTTTTACCAATTTATATTTGTTTTATAGAAATGGTGAAAAACCAATCAGAATACAGATATTGATTTTTGAAATGGAATTATATTGAGATAGGAAAAGTTTATTGCAATTTAGCGAGAGAGATTGACGCGGTACGGTAGCAAAAGTCGATAACTCTATACTCCTCTTCTGAAATTCCTATATAGCAATCATTATTTGTAAATTACACGAAATGATTGGATCGTTTATGCTGATCCTTTGATCTTGTCCCTCTTTTTTCAACCCTTTACACTCTTTTCCTCTCTCTCTCTCTCTTTCTCTCTGAGAGAGAGACGGAATTTATCATTGGCCAAATAAGGCGAGAGGAATAAAATAAGGCGCCTAATATAACTCTCATTCGTATGGACCATACTTCAGCTGCGGTCAGGGACAATCAGCAGCTGAATTACCAATATGATTGCTACTGAAATATTCCACAGCCGACAAAGACTGTGACTATAGTTTTACCATCATCATCTCTCCATTAGTCGCACGCATATTTTTTTTTTTTTGTTTGCATAGTTCATTCTATCGATATATATATAAATATAATCTATATATGAGAAAATATATTTTTCTTCAATGCACGCAACAGTTCATTTTCCGATTGAATATCAATATTGATATGAATCAAATATTCCATTTCTTATAAGCTATATATACTCACAAAATACAAAATCTATTATTGCAATAAGTGGATTGGTCAATTTTCAAACCAAAAATGACATATGGAAAAAGATGGGAATTCTAATATAAGTGACATTTTTCTTTCTTAAAATCCTTCAGAAAATAAAAAAATGTACCAAGGATTATAAATGAAAGTTTAATCATTAAATTGTTACATATTATTTATACCGTATAACATTACAAATTAGCGACCATGGTGTAATTTAAAGTTACCTTTCTCCGATAAGTTAAAGTTGTTAATTTATAAACTTTTCTCTAGTGTTTCGTTGGAAGAAAAAAAAAATTTCAAGTAGCGTGTTAAAAATAATAAATTCTAATGGTAATGAGAAGTAGTTAAATCCCCCCGCTCCTCCCCTCTCTCATTCTCTTTCGACTAAAACAAACTGCTAAGTAAAGCGATAGCGTCTTAACTCTTGAAAAGCGTTTAAGCGAACGCGAAAATACTTATTTTAACAAACGCGAGTTTGCGTTTTGCTCTCTAAAAGAGGAGAAGAAAAGTTGGGTGGTTTATATATATATATATAGTTGAATGCGGCAATCAGAGGCAATTATAAATTTTATTATTTCACCAGCTCGTGCTGATGTAAACGGCGCAGCTGCAAAGTACGTGAGGTTCGCGAATATATAACATTATAACACAAACAACCGAGAATTTTATATACACATGCATGTCTCTTTGGTATATATCGTACACGAGATTATACAATGGGGCCCCCTCCTAATGACTCGGCAGAGCCGCCAAAGCCACGATTCGTGCCATTTTATTTTACTTCCGCGGGCACCCTATAGCTCTCTATTAATTGCCGTCATTCCATGCCAACTTTGCCTCAAATCCATCTCGATCTCCCGGTGCCACGATCCACGGGATACTCCTCCCTTTTAACTTCACGTGGACATTGCTAACTTCCTTTTTAAGTGTTTATTATTATTATTATTATTATTTTCTTATTTTTTTATTACTTTGAAATAAACTCTGCACTATTTTTTGATAAATTTTCTGCATACTGTGTAGAAAGTAATACATTTCTGCACAGTATGCAGCAATGTTATAAAAA